TCATTCTGGAGAAACATAGTTGATCTTTGAGTTAATGGCCTTGAAAAGATGTACCAAATTGGTTTAAAAGTGTGTTTTTTTTTTTGTTTTTTTTTCACCGCCTATTTGAAGACATTGATTGTTCACATTTTTCATCTTCTGCAGTGTACAAATAGTCTAACTTTGGAGCCTGAAACCATGTCCAAATTTCCAAATTGAAAGCCAGTAAAACAAATAAAAATGGACTCAAACCACCATCTCCGGGAGGAAGGCCCTACGATTAACCCACCACATCTTCCAACCAAAATGGGCTTTGTTGCTTCTTATAGTATACTCCCATAGTGTATACTTAGACTTCCAGGCAAAAAGGCTTAAGACAGGATGTCCTGATAGCTCATTTGATGGAGCTGTTGCCCCATGGAGCAAAGCTGAGTCTGCAGCAGCCATGGGTTCGAATCCAGTCTGTGGCCCTTTGCTGTGTGTCACCCCCTCCTATTATGATGTCCTGGAAGCTTCTTGTTGGCAGCACACAGCCTATATACTTCAATATTTCTGACATTTTATATGACTAATCAATATCTGTCAACCTATAACTATTAAAATGGTTTAAATTTGTAAAAATTGTATTTTGTGACACGATGTTGGAACTGCATTTTAGCTGGTTGAAAAGAGACTGTTTGGTTCTCTAGCTAGTCCCTAAATAAACAGCTGTTTGGTGCTAGGAAGGTAGCATACACAGGTTTTATCAGAGCTTTTCACTCAAAACAGATGCGTGAGCTAATTTCTTTACAACCAAAATATTGCAGCTAAAAGGGAATACAGCAAAAAGAACTGCAGAGTTCTGGATCATAATTCTTCTCGTGGGTTCATCGTCACTATCAAGCAACCAACTTGCCACATGTTCAGCTTGTGTTACGTTAATGTCTCCAACAGTCCGACCTGTCTTTCTAGGAATCACTGGCATTTCAACATGTGTTCCCTGAACTTGCTCTTGGAATTCCCATTTGTTTGCCCGTCGTGTAAATATAGGACGTGGCAAGAATGGAGGACGCAGGCCTACTCTGTTTTGATATACACTCTCCCAAAAAAGAAAAAAAGGAAGAGCTCTTCTCTTCAATGATGAATATGTGCCCGCTCCTAAAATGACTGCTCTCACAAATTGGAATGCTTTCTCTGTATGACTATAAATGTTACGCCTGGATAGTTGGAAAAAAGTGAATCCTGCTCCAGTTCATTGTCTTTACTGTTGTCAACCAAAGAAGAAACAAAAGAAAGAACAAAACTGTGGAGGGGAAAAGAACAGTCTATGAGAAGACTCACTTGCTGTAATGTATTGTGCCTTTATATAACTTTAGCCGCTAAAAGTCATTTTTAACTTTTTACGAGAGTGCACGCCTTGGATCTTTTATTCTTATTTGGTCTACAGTGTCCTAGACCTCTCTTAGACCACCTTACTGTCTATGCTCGTTGCTGTTGTGTCTTATACACTGTATATTAAATCCTGTCAGTCTGTATTCTGATGGTCATAAAACACTACCAGTCTTCTACCGGAGTAATTCTAGTTCTGATTTAACATAAGCATCTAAGCCCCTGCCTTTATCTGCTCCTACTAGGCTCCACTCATCTTGGGGATCCACGGACCACGTCGAACCCCAGCTCACCCTCCTCCTCTCCACACACCCCCAGCGCCCTGGGCAGTGGCAGCTCGGATCCAGTGCTGAACGGAGGCCTGTGCTCCGCAGCTTACTGCAGCTCAGCGGGAGGTAGGTACACCCCAGATAGAGAGCTACTACTACAGAAGCACAGAGAATCAATCACCCCACAGGGGACTGAGTGGAAGCCATTATGGGATAGTGAGCAGATGTCATCCTGCAGTAGTTAGGAACAATGGCCATAGCCTCATGGTCCCACCGCTGCTGCAGCTGCAGCTGGATGTGGAGAATGTTCAGCACGTGTTGAGATGTCATATAGCATTGTTATGTAAATGAGACTGATGTAGTGTCTTTTCTTTTTAGATAGTTCAAGACATAAATCTGAGACAAAACTTCCTCCACAGAGTTGTTTTTTTAAGCCTGTTAATCAGTCTGAATTGCCATTTGGTTTCACTTTATTCATTCAGCTGGATGTTGTTTTCATGTTAGCTAATTTTTGGGTGGAGGGAGCTATTTTGTATCCTAAATGTACTAAAATCATCCTAAAATGCACTGAACATTATATGTTCACTGAATGCTACAGACTGGTTAAGGCTACTCACAAGTGACATATCTAACATGTTGACATGTTAGCTGCAGTAGCATTTGCGAAGATCCTAGCATAGCAAAGAAAAATGGCGATTTAATAGCTGTTAATTCTGTAAGTTGATTTGCAACATAGCATACAGCTGCGTTAATCTCATCCACACTTGTCCCCCTCTTTTACCATTTTTCTGTCTGCTATTTTTAATGGATATAGCTAGGTTAGGATATTGGATATTAGCTAGCTAACTAACTAATGATGCATTCACATGCTCCTTGGATGGTTCCTGAGTTGGGAAGTCATTCTTTCAACTTCAGTGTGTTCATGTGCTTTAAGTCATAATGTGGAAACAACATGGACGCTACAAGAAGATGTTTTATTTCTCAGAGCATTTAAACAGTGAAGATACATGTTGCTATCCAAGTATGCTGAACCCGTTTGGAGCTTCTTTTGTCCCAGACTTGATGCTGAATCACTACACACCATTTTTTAAATATTCCCTCTTACAGTAGCTGAGATTACCACACTTTTTCTCTTAGTCGCCAATATTTCATTACATTTACACCAAGCTGTGTAAAAGTAAAAGTTTACTGCACTGTACTTTTCTCATCTTTCCTTACTTACTTAACATTTTATTTCCATTTCACCACAGGAACAACCCCAAATTCACCTGTCAGCCTCCCCAAGTCACCTACGTTCCCGTCCGGCCGCGGGCCTTTGTCTGACGAGTGCTCCATCTGTTATGAGAACATGGTGGACACAGTCATCTACGCCTGTGGACACATGTGTCTGTGCTACACCTGCGGCCTCAAACTCAAGAAGATGTCCAACGCCTGCTGTCCTATCTGCAGAAGGCAGATCAAAGACATTATCAAGACCTACCGGAGCACGTAAGGAGACTACGGCTAACTGACGGACGGCCTCCCTAAGAAGAGCAAAATCCCAGAGTCAGGGAAAGAAATGTCTAAATTCAGGGAATATGAACTCTGGTACTTTAATTTGGTATTTTCATACAATTATTGTTGGTTGGTTGTGTTGCGTGACCTTTTCCAAAGCCGGTACTGCTTCGCTTGGAAGGTCTCTTTCACTTTAGAGTCGCTGTCACAGCCTCCCTGGAGAGGCGGCACTTGAAGTGGCAGGGGGTTCCTCTGAGAAATTGAAACTTACCAAAAGTGTCTCTCCTGGGATCTTGGAAGACTTTAAAGGAGAGAAACTGAACGGATTCCAAAATTCTTTCATTTCTGGAGTCATGTTGTAAGATTTAGGGACTGTAACCCATCTGCGCCGAAGCAAATGAGTCACTTTGGGGCTGAATGTCTCGATAATAGTTCTTTTAGAGGATGACTGAAACTCTGAAATATGCCGTCAACCTGATGCGTACTTCTGACTTAACCAGTCAGTAAAAAAAAGCACACCGCGGCAGGTAATCATGTCAGTATGTCACAACTTGTGTCTGTGTGTTACTGAGCATTGGAAAAGAGAAGTCAGTCGGGCAGCGTAATGATGAAGTGATGGATTTCTGTAGTTGTCGTGGTGATTATCAGTGAGTGATGTGCTTAGAGATGCAAGGCGGTGCTGAGTATATTAAGTAGGATTGTAACACCTCTTGTACTCGTATAATCTAATGTACCTTAATGGTAGTTCTATTGCAATCGTCGGTGGTAGCTACGTATATTGTTGTGCTAGCTAGCTGCTTGCTCTGCAATGTGGTATGTTGCACTGAAGTCGGCATCGTCCTCTCAGAAATGCCCCATTACCGACGGAGATGATGAAGACATTCATTGGTTCAAACTATCTACAAACCTGCGTCCAGCACAGTCAGCAGCTCCTGGATCTGTGAAAGGAAACAGGAAGTGGAACAAAAACGGTAAGTCTCCTCAGGGCCGGCAATGTTTTTTTAAGAAGATGTGAACTACTTTCCCAAACGTTACCGTCAACCATGCCTGATACACTGTGAGCGCTAATGACGAATTGACAAGTCCTCGAAAATAGTTCCCATAACAACACACAGAGTCAAAGGATTGATGCCATGGTATCAGAAGCCACTACGGATACAACAAAGCTTCCTGCCTTAACCCACAGGTTCATTTGTTACATGCGGATGTATCACAGTCTGTGTTTTCTGCCATTTTCCCAAAACCCCCTGACAAATCACCAAACGATGCTGCAAACTGTCACAAAATGTTCACTCAGAGGAGAAAAAAAAAAAGCACACAAATTTAAACCTATTTTTGTAACACAAGTCCATGACATTTCCAATACTCAACTATTAAAATGTTTAATAACCCTTGTGACAGGTCTTTCACCAGCAGCAAATATCCTTTACAGAAATCAGTTCAGGGCAGGGTTATGAAAAAGCTTGTATTTTGAATATTTGTATGATTCCTTCCCATGCCCTAACTGCAGTATAAAATGTCTTGATACATCCCCACAGAAATTTCAGCTGGAAATACACCGACTCAGCAGTAAGCCATAGCTTATAACAGAACATCACTCAGAGCTGAGAAGCGTTTTTTTTAAACGTGATATTGTACTTCATTTTGTAGATAATCAACCAATGGGGCTCAAACTTATGCTGCTATGGTATTTGCCAGCTGTCCTTTCTTGGCAAATGCCGACAGTGATGTTTCACACATCCGTCCTCCCACATTACAGTTTGATTACGCTACTGCTTGAAGTGTTAATTCACATTTGAATGTTAACTTATGTATTTAGAGATAAATGACTTGTATTGGTGTGTGTGAATTGAAAAAAACAAAGGAAAAAAAAGTTTTGTCTTTTTTTTTTAAAGATTGTTTTGATTGATAATATCATGATTCTAATATTTTCTTTCTTGTTCATCTAAAACCATGAGAATCTAAATGGATTCTTGTTTTCTAATAGTGAGAATATAGAGGGTTGCTTGTACCTTGCGGCAATAAGAGATATTGCAGTACACAATCAGAACCTCATTGCTTTGGGGTGCAAGATATAAACTCTTGGTTTTATTACAATCCCTGAATTTCAGGTCGTCTTTTTTTTAATTTACCTTCTTGTGTGTAAGCCCATGTTAGGGAGCCCTTCTGCCCATTCTGGTTTTATATCTCTTATCATGATATAGTCTGAAAGCCATCACTGTATGGTAATGTAAATGTCACTTTATAAAGCTACTGATTGTAATCTTGTAAATGTTTAGGCCAGCGTTGCTCTCAGAGACTCAAACATGGCATGTTTTATTTTTGTGCAGACATTCAGACCAAATAGAAAATGTATTGATTTTTTGAATACATTGTGTAAATGTAATCCCCTTGGTGCAAAACCCTGTATTGATTTGGGCTTTTTTAACATTTACATCCATCCGTTTTTGGGCCGCATTAATTGCTAAACACTACACAACTATAGTTTGGTTAAAGATTTTCAACTGTAAATGATTCTGCACACACCTTAATGATGTGATGCCGTTTTTATTTTTGGTTTTATTTCTGCCTTCAGAATACTCGTAGGCTCCTTTGAATGTTACTGATCCTGTAATGTACTATTTATTTGTCCGTCACTGATGTGTGGACTAATTCCTCTAAACCTGCTTTTCTTGCGTGTTTGCTTTCTTATACATTGCCACTATACCGATATGACTCCTGTGTGTCCGGCCAATCGCACAGCAGCACATTTAGAGATTCTTTCTGTAGCTCTTAGTATACTTTTTGTCATGCATGAGTAATCCGTTCTCTGCGTGAACATCGGGACCAACAGTAGGCGAGCATCCGAGTGGAGCGCTGTTAGTGTTCATGTAGACTGGAACCAGTGGCTAGAAATGCTATATACTGTATATGTCCATTGTTGTGACATAGCAGCTGAAGTACTTTTGCAAACCTGTATTTTCTTTCTTTTTCATTTGAAACAAGTGTTTGTTTGTGAGCTCTGTTCAGTGTGAGTCGGATGATTGTGGTTAATAAACTTTCCAGATGTGTTTGAGCAAAAAATGTTTGTTTCATTATTAAAAATAACATTCACAGAGATATCACTATATAACACAAATCTATAAGAATCATTGTGTTTTGTTACCTTAAAATGAGCCGTTCTTATCTACAGTGGGAGCGGGTCCTCTTCCATGGAGTCCGCCATGTTGAACCACCATGTTTCTACAGTAGCCCAGCATGGACATACCAAACACTGGCTGTGGATGGACATCCCTAGATGCAACTAAATTCTACACACTGGTCCCTTAAGCAGCATTCATTTATCTTGTTGGCCACTTGAAGGCAGCGCAACAAGCTGTAGACACCATACTTATAAAATGATCACCTTATAAAATTATGGCTAACATGTAAGCATCTCATTTTCTAACAAGCTGAGATATATTTGATGATGATTTTGTAAATATTAAACATTTAATGGTGTGTTAACATGCTAACACTGACACAGTATCACTATATAAAGATGTGTTTCATTAGTAAACAGCTGCTGCTTGCACATCCAACACTTGAGCAACATTAGCATTAGACATACACAGGCATGGACCTGATGGCTCATTGCAGAGGGGACAAGGACCTGTAGATTATAATGAGGTGCATATTTCATGCCATGGGTTTATCATTAAACTGCAACCTGCAGACATTTAATAGGTTATTTCAGAACTGTGATCATATAAAGAACTAAACTAGCGAACATTGAGCATTTCACATTCAGTGATGCTGGATGCCCATACAGCCATGCAGCCACATAGCCTTCACAATACAGCCACATAATCAACAGCAGCAACAAACCTTTTTTTAAAAAAGACCAGGTAGCCAGCATCTACAACAAACCAGTCATCACAGAAAATAAATATGAAACAACTTACCAATAATGTTTTCATCCAACAGCTGTCAGTGTGAATCCAGCAAAAATGACATGAGTACACTGTAACCTGCATGAAATATCTTAAACACTCAACACTGTCACACAAACGTATTCCATCACCATCGTCATTATCACAGCTGCTTTATTCAGCTCGGCTGGTCTGACTTTCTTTTCTGCAAATAAGACACACAAACAAACTCTACTCAAAATATTCAACTAAACAATACAAATGCATGTCCATCCAGGCATATTGGGCCAAAGGTGGGCCCCTTTGTAGCTGTAGAGAACCATGGGCCGGGGCAGCTGTACCCTCCGCTACAGGACGTACATTATGTACTAAATGCAATATTAACTCCCTTCCTCTGTTTTTGTCTCCACCAAATGTCCGGCTCATTAGCAGCCAAATGCTCCACTCTGTTAGCTAGTCGCTAACTGTATCTGGGTATGTAGCATACAGTAGGCTAAAAAGCTATGTAGACCTGAGGGGAACAGCATTTGGGTGACAGTTATCTGTGGGTTTGTTACTGAGTGACCCCTTTCACATTAATCATTTGATCAATTGATCTTGTAAAAATATTGATTAGTGCAGCTTTAACTCAAGTGATGATTAGGTGCACTCTGGTCCAGCTAGGACAACTCCTAATCAAGTCATCTTTAAATAATAATAAGCCAGCTTTATACAGGTTGCTGTGTGTTCTGTAATACTTCAGTATCAGCGGTAGTGCTATCAGGCCCTTCATTAACATGCTAAAGTTGCAGATTCATAAATGCTTATTGGCTCTGTGAACTTAGAGGTGTCACACAAGTCACTGTGGATCTTTCAGTTTTTACTTTTCATTATGCAATAGATTTAAAATTCAGTGCAAGTGTTGAGTTAAAGTAACATTTCTTTCTCCATTCAGCATCACATACAAACACATTTCTTGTAGGTCAGGTGCATTTCTAGAACATTTTGAATAGGGAGGCTAGTGTTTGTAATATTTTGTCCACAATTAATAATAAAAATACTTGTGTTGACAGAACTATCCCAGCTCAGGGTCCACTTACCAGCTATTTCTGGAGCTTTCGGCTGTATCACATGGCCTTCATCAGCAGCTAAAGTTCGCTTTGTTGTCATGCAAGTGCAGATGTTCGACCTTCTATTACTCTGATCGCTTTCAGGACTTCTGTTTGGTAGTCGAAAGCTACAGAACAAGTCAGTAAGTGGACCTTGAGTGGAAATGAACTGCTGTTTCCAAGGTCATGGTCAGTTAAAAATACTTTCTGTTACCAAAGTAGTATTTATTGTGTGACTCTTGCACTACAGCGTAAGAAGTTGCTATTAGTCTGTTCATTCAGTGTATGTACTGTTTAATAAACCTTTTTCACAGCACAGTAGCCTACCAGTTCATGTCAAAATGGCTGCTGTGAAATAGGCCTGCTCCACCTCTGACACTGTATTAACTGTAGCATGTTTGCTTCAAACAGTGGTCTTCCTTGCTGGTATAATACTGGACATCCTAATGGAGTGTTAATGGTGGTTATATGCAGTTTGACAATGAGACCTAAAGAAACCCAAATGCAAGTTGGCGTGCCCTTTGAGGTGCAGGTGCATTATTGGGGGCCCCGGGCTTTTTGACGCATCGTGTTCAATGGCCTCAGCCCCAGCCCCAGCTGGTGGGGGGCCTCACTGTGACAGGTATGGGATTAGTGAGAGAGCAGTGGAAATACTTGCGCCCTACTTTGAAACTTGCATTGTAGGTGAGCTCCTAGCAAAATGACTGCACTATAAATTCATGAAGCACCTCATCCAGATGTCTCCTCTGAGCTCAGCGATAGCCATCTGTCTATCTGTGTCTGCAGCAGACGACTCATGACATCTCCATATAAAAGAACCTGACTAAGGGATATGAATAAGACGAGTAATAATCTGATGAAAAGAATAATTCAGACAAGTGTATCTAATACTTGTCATTGTTTAACTGTGCATTCACAACCCTGCCAGAGATCATCATCCTCCAGTGTTCTCACCCAATATTATTAGTTATGCGGGATAAAAAAGTATTCAATGTCAGTGTACATATTGAGTATGCAATGTGCAGGTCTATTCATATGAAAATCTCTCTGTCTTATCAACACTGATGCTGTCTGAAGGAGGGTTTGTAGCAAGACTGGTTCAACAGAGCCATCTAGTGGAGATACATTGCTATGGTCACAGGCATGTCAACACATGAAGGGTTTAAATTCAAGCATGATTCATTTTGGGAACAGAAATGTAATTACCTGTTTGACAAAAACTCTTATCTGATTAAAAAACGTCACTATATATATTTTCAACAATGCATCAAATGACCATGTGTAGTGTGTGAAGTGTCACTCGTGGTGACCAACCCACAGAAAATGATCAATCACCTGACTGCAGATTTCCTCAGTTCTACAGAGTGTTTTAGCATTTTGAATGTTTTGAGTTTACTCTCACAGCTCTCATCATTGTTGTTTCCATTGTACCAACTCATTGTATGCCACCTGCTCAGCACCAAACAATACACACAATTTGCAACTAGCTAGTGAACACAGAGCATTTAGCAGCTAAGTTTGTGGGAACCAAAACTAACTAACTAACTAGCTAAAAGCAGAGTGAATACTTGACTTACATTCCTCAGGTGGACAGTAACACAGCTCCAAATGAATGCTAATGTTGCGCTGTTTCTGCTGGATGTCTTAGTAGGGAACTGTTAGTTCACAATTGCCTAAAAATATCTATATAGTGATAATATTTAAATGTTAGCGTGTTAGCAATACTTTAAATGCTCAACATATACATATACAAAATGCATGGAGTACCCGTCAGTCTCAGTCAGAGCATGAACGATGACCTGACCTGCCGAATCCTCTGGAAAAGCTGGATTTTCCTGTAAGAGTTGAAGATTTGTGGTGCTTCTCTGGGACAGAGGTGTAAGCATATACTTCATGTAATTTTGGACACAAGTGATAAATCTCTCTACACACGCTTCCCTCTTTAGTGGGAAACTGGGGCTCCAAGAGCTCGTTCGTCTTCATCCATCGCTCTCAGCCTCCTAACACTTTCCTCTCATAAGTCATACCTCGCTATATATAACCAGCTGCATTGTTCTGCTCCTCCACATCTAAACTCACTTAATTTGGCTTTCACAATAAGGCGAATAAAGATAAATGTCTCAATCTGTAATATTACTGTCACATACTATCTAGCTATATCGCAAGCCGCAACGTGGGGGTCGCTGCTCTTTATCTGCGGCGGCACCTGTGACAGGAAGTGTGAGACAAATGAAAGGGAGCCGGTGTAAAACAACAAAGATAATACATTTAATATTGTTTCTCTTTTGGGCAATGCGAGATACAATGTAAACATGTACAAGATACAAAAAAAAGGAACAAGACCTGTCGAAATCAAACAGTAGATAAGAAAATGATCTGTTTTCAAAGGAATGCACATGTGCAGAATGTCTCCAATCAGAAAGGAACTTGGACTGCGTTTGCTTTCGTTGTCTTTTGTCCTGGTGCACTGGCGTACAGCGTGATGATGCCTCAAACTGGCAAGTGCATGGCCCTGTCACCACATTTGATCTGGTGGGCAGATGACTCATCGTTGGATGATTCATTGACATTTACAGTGGAATAAAGCCCCCTTGGCCTCCTCATGGCATATCTTTTGAAAACAAGGAGCTTGCAAGAGTTAAACACAATTTGCATAACAACAATGGTAATAAGAAAAGAAAAGGAAAGCACCTCCTTTGGTCCAACTCGAGGCCTGTAGTCGTTTCTGTGTTTCTTAGCGTGGTTGACATGCTGGTAACAGATTGTTTTTGTCAGGATTTACAGATCGAGAGCTCGATGGCGTCGGGCTTCCAAGATTCTTTTTTGGCACACTGCTCTTCACAGCAGGGTGGTGACGAATTCTCTTCTATAAATGCAACATCGAGGCTAAAAACAGGCTAAACCTTCCCATGAATCTACCTCAGCTTGTAACATCAATCACTTCTGACAGCTCTCCTCCACCTCCAAACTGTGTCGGAGCCCGCGGCCGGCACCGGAGGCCCCCACGCAGGATGGCAGCAGCGTTCTTGATTAGAAAGCTGTTAGCGCTGGAATATCATCCGACTGGCTTAGGTTAATTAAGACACACTGTTGTGCTAATTAGGAACAGGGATTCAAACTGAGACAAAGAAAAGTGCCACAGAGACACAGCGGTGCGCCTCGTTCCTCGACACAGCCTCTTTTGTGGAGCTCGGAGACAGCTCCTGCTGATGCCCGCTGGCGCGTCAAACAACTGCGATTCTGTCAGGAAGTTTTCAGAATGACATAAATAATCAGCATTCCCCGATTCACAGGCTTGGGTTTTTATTTTTACCCCAAATGCTTGAGAAAAAGCCCTGCAGCTTCCCTTGTTCTATTCTTTCTTGTCCCACACTCAAACAAGAACTACATATTAATTAAAAAACCTACAGAATCACCCCCTAAATACCTCCTACCTACTCCCACACACTTACTAAAACTTTCTCATCAAACCTCCTCCTATCAGACTGCCGCCTTCATTAACCTCGCAATCACTCCAATCCAGAGCTGGGCGCTGTTGACTTCTGAAGCCCCCTTTCTTTTTTTCTTTTTTTTTGATTCACTTCCATTATGAATTAAGGCTTGTTTCATCAGATGTGAATAAACACTTCGAATGCTCTGCTGAACTTTTACAACATTCAATTATTTTCTCGACAAAAACTCAGAAGGAGTAAGGCAAAAAAGAGAGAGAGGCAGAAAATCCTTCATTTGAAGCCATTTTCCCCTTTTTCAGCACCCAGCTCAACTCTTGCACCCTCAGGGCTACACAAGATCTGAAGACACTGACAGTAAAAGAAGCTGAAATCAGACGCAGGATCAGTCTTAAAAGTTCTTCTATGGACGGAGAGAGAGGCTGAGAGAAGCTGCCGCGGTGTGAACTCATTTGTCTCTCACTGACTGCAGTTTCTTGAAGCAGCTTCAAAAAAAACAACGTCAAGTGCTGCAATTAAAACACTGTTTGGAGTAATAAGGTTTCACAACTCAGGTTGGGAAGCAGGGAGCTCATTAGGTTGGGGTTTTTTTTAGAAGGTGGGTAGAAGGAGTGGAATAAAATGGGCCCCCCGCTGGAAGGAATTATTTCTCGCTGTTTTTTAGGAGTGGAAACGGTGCCCACCAGCCTTTCATCTCCCCTCCTATCAAAGCAGAGCTCCTCTCACCTCGCTCTCACCTTGTCTCCTAGAATCCACTATCTGATCCATCTCGTGTCTCCCTGCATCCTGCTCTCACAAAACTCCTCCTTGACCTCCAAATTCTCTTCTCCTGAGTGCACCTGCAAACAATCCATCTCATCATGCAAAAACACACACGTCCACACAAACACACCCTCCCCCTCCCCCAAACCCTCCTAGATATCTCAATCATTGCCCTGGGAATAGACTGCCCGGCTGTGTCGAGGAAGGGAGGGATGGAAATGCAGTGCCGAGGGAAGAAGGAGATGGAACTGGGGAGCAGAAAGGGAAGTGCAGCCAGGAGGAATACACTGCGGCGGGCGGCTAGCGTTTGGGATTACAGAGTTTAAGGTGCTTCACGCCCGAGAGGTGCCATCCATTTGTTGAAATAAAAAAAAAGCAGAGGAATAAAGCAGGGTGCCGGCGTGGTGGGGGCTGTCTCACCCGGCTGACCTCCGGGAATATGTCAGGAAACTCATACATTTCCTCTGGCATGAATGACTCCCCATCATCATCACTGAGTATGTGTTGGCATGTGCGCACACGCTCAGTTGTGCAGGCGGAGTGCAGAAATATTGCCTCCGCCAATTCCATTCCATTCCGGTGTGGCTGAGATAGGCTCAGCTGGCAGACCGTGACTGAAAAAGAAGCCTGTAACTTAAAGAAATAGCTCGGCATTATGGGAAATAACCTTGCTTTTTTGCTGAGTTCCACATTCCTGTATGCTAAATAAGAAGCTAAAGCCAGGAGATATTTAACTTAGCATAAAGACTGGAAACCGCCACCCTGGCTCTGGTGGAAAAAAATCCACATGCCAACACCTCTAAAGCTCATTGATTAACATGGTATATGGAATTTGTTTAAAGCCCCCCCTCCAGTCAAATAGCAGTGTTCCTTCTTGTTCCTACAGTACATGTCTGTGTTGAATGCAGTCTGTTGCGAGTTTGACACTAGAAGTGGATGTTTTCACATTTCATCTGCTGAAAGTGGAGTAAGTTTCCTCTGTGCCTCATTGAAACAACAGTTTTAAGCAGGGGCTACCAGCAGGATTTGTGACATCACAAATAGTCTGGAAGTTAGTCCTGGTCCAGTATGCAACTTTACAGTGTGATCCACCAGTGACATCCACTGAGACTTTACAGTGAAGGAGGATACATTTGCATATTCACAGATTAGACTTTTGTGTGGAAAAAAACACATTATTGTTCCAAGCATTTGTTTCTAACCTAAAACATGTTTGGAGGGGATCTTTAATGTTGCTGGGCTGTTGTCGTCAACCAAAGGTAAAACCACAACTCTTTTTTAAAGTGTTAAGTAGTGAACTTTAGAGATGTTGGCAGCATTTTTAACCTTTTGACAGAGCCAGACTAGCTGTCTCTCCAAGCTACCAGTCTTTATGCTGAGCTAAGCTATCTCCTGGCTTTAGCTTCATATTTAACAATCCCCACACTTATGTTTGCATTTTAATTTGTCTGATATTGTTTTGCACCAAAACAGTACATTCTCACACCTGCATCCGCTTCTTCTCCCTCATTAAAAATGCAGAAACTACGCATAAGCAAATATTTCTCACATCAAAAGTTTCAGTGATGAGCGATGTCTCCTACTTCACTGCAAAGTCAGTTCTGCCAGGATCCCACGTACGTGTGTTAAGCTGAGGTTTAAGGTGAGCACAAAGAAACCTTTCCCCTTCAGCAGATGGATGTGAGAACAACCTTTTACTGTCAGACTCTGCACATACATCATTCTGCACAGTGAAGCTCAAACATCACCATAAGAAAAACACTTTTTTTAGTGAAGGGGGGCTTTAACGGCATGAGAGTTGTATCGATCTTCTCATCTAACTCTTGGTAAGAAAGCAAATCAGGGTCTTTCCCAAAATGTCAGACTAGGTAGAGTTAAACTACAAACTATTGCCAAAAAAAAGATTTATGGACACAAGCCGCCACCAACAATACAGGGAACTCTGTGTATTGGCCTGTACACACAGGTAGTCTTTAGCACAATGACGTATTCACCTTTAGCACATCGATAAGGCCTGCCTGGGGCTCAGCAAAGAGAAATATAAAGGTTTTTTCTATTTTTGGCGTACATCCTGGAAGTGATGGATTGAAGTGAAATGGCCTGAAGGAGCGTTCATCTCCACGCTCTCTTGTTTACCGCTGAGACTCTCCCGCCGACGGATCCAAATGTCACCTTGACCACGGTGATTGGTGAGGGGGAAAAGTCTGACTTGGTTTGACAATGGTGGGGTAAATGTCAACAGAGGCACCCGCGTAGGTGCAGAGAGGACACACTCCAGTGGGAAAACACACAGAATAAAAATCTGAAGAAAAAGGAAACAACAACAACACAAAAACAAGAAACTATCAAAATTCCATTCAGGCACGAACGTGACAGCTCAGAGCAGGGCCACTGAGGCCCCTGATGATGGGCCCATGACTCTCCATCTGTGAAGAAGACCCCAGATGGCTGTAATGTCCATACAGAACGGGTCAGTGGGCTTCTACCATGCCATTCACAAGTCACTGTCCACTGCTGATCCGGGGCAGGAGGAGCAGAGGTTCTCGTGTTAGTAATTATAAAAGTCCATCACGTCAGGGTAATAATGAGATGTCACATACGTCTGCTGCTTTGGTCCAATGAGTTTTTTTCGATGCTTTTAGGGCCTTTCACATCTGCTCTTTTAGATACACTTGAAATGAGGGTAAAAGCTCATGACTGGCAGTTTGACTGGGAATATCTACTCCCAACAGATGTAATGGCATTATTCACGTTTCTCTAGACCTGCAATGTTTTTTCCTCTTGTTGAAGTGTGATGTGCTTCTCATCTATTGCACATTTCCTCGAGGGGTATATTTCAGAATTTGACAAAAAGGGGAAATAAGAAAAAGAAAAAAAAAGAAGATAAAAGCATGAATGAAGATAGACGTAAGCTAAATGTATGCCTGACAGAACGATTCCCTTGCTGTTTCAGCTTAGTAAATTCAGCTTGATCAAACAAAAGCGATATGCAATAATAATACGTGCTGGAGCGAAATGTTAAAAGTGATTCAACACATTTACATAATGCCTTCGTCTGGATGGAAACGGGCCTGACAGCAAATATTCCAGTCCTAATTTTTATCTCATTATTTATAGGTACGTCTTTTAATTTTTATTTAATAAAATTAATAAAAAATACCTCACAACTAAATGATGTTGCTTTTGAATGTCCGCTGACCGCTGTGTCTGCATTTTGAATATTCAGTTCAGTGGAGTATAGTTTGCGTGAGAATGATAATCTGTATAATGCTATACAGTAATATTTTGAATGTGGGGATACGGTGATTGTCAAACCCTGATAAGATATAGAACTATTCATAATAAATACACATAAAATCAGGCATTATGTAAAGCACAATAAAGATGAAGGAAGTGCCCATGATTTGTTAAAGTTGCAGCACACAGCATAGAGAAAAAAAAAAGACTTTTTTTATTTAAAAAAAAAATAAATTATTGCCCAATACAAAACACGTGCTACAAAAATATTCTTAGCTGCACTTAGATTAAAAAAAAAAAAGAAAATAGAAAACATTAAATTTCTGTACAGTTCTTGGTGAGACTCACTGACCAGCAGTGCATTTCTTATTGCACTGAGGTAGGACAGCTGGTAAGCCTTGTGGAGGGGATAAAAATCCTGTTGTAGTACCTGTGACCTCCCACAAGAGGGCTCTGTTCCTCCAATTCTACTCTAACTTTGCCATGATCTCAGAACTCATAGTAGAGTTCCACCTCTCATTTGAGGTGAGTTTAAAGAAAAAAGAATAGAGAGAAATTAAATAATTACAAAAAAAGAATAAATAATATGCTGAGTATTTACTGCATCTTTACATTAATGCACCATAAAAACGGGTTTAAAGTGCACTAATTCACAAAACAGAACCACTTCGTCCCTCATTATTGTCACTGTGCGATCACAACAACAAAACGAACAGACAAGACACAAATATGGTTTCGCTAAAATAGATAACTGCGATCTAGCAGGTACTGTACTTTGTTTAATACTATGATACTGTCCAGCAGAAACATAATGAAAAGTTAGTGTTCAGCCTCGTACAGAGAGCTCACACCGTCTGTTAGAAAATGTATTTCAGCAGTCTTGAACATCAGCCATTTGAATTTTAAAAGTTGGATTTTAGCTCAGAACTTCAAATTCTCATATTTCACTTCTTATTGGGGGAGGATTATTATTAACTTAACATTATTATTATTTCTAACTTAACTTAGGTGATTGCCAAATATTTTTTACAGGATATGAACCCTGACTTTAATGGAAGATATGAAAAAACAAGTTGACAAACTATGTTGTCTGCTATTTAATGCCAACCCTAATACTTGCACAGCAATATCTAATTACAATTCCCTTGCTTACTTCTTGTTTCATAGATCTATAATTTTGAGAAAATGTATCAAGTGCTTCCAGACACCCTGTATTAGGCATTTTGTTGAATATACTGTATTACTTGTACCATAAATAAATAGTAAAATCACAAAAAACTCTCTTTGGTTTGATCACATTTTGGGCTAAATGCTGTGCAAATATGTCCCTGGGATTCAATTATTTCACCACATTTCCAGTACTTATTCAACACATCTCCGCAACAGCGGTATCATTATGTCTACAAAACAAACTATATACAAAATCCATTGTTCCTGGAACTAAAAGCACTACAGTAAACCTACACCTTTGTAAACTAATTGTTTTGATCTTTTGAGGTTATTAGCTACTCAGATAGGAGGTGGCTTTGTTCTGGAGAGCACTCAAGTTACAAGTTGTTCTTTTGATTTTCCAGGAAACTAAAATATCTGCTATTTTCAAGTTTTACAGGTTTTTCATTATACATTTGTTATCCCAGATAGTTACCTCTGGGATTAAAACAACATGAATATTAACATTTTTCTTGGACTTGAGGATCTATGACAAAAGTATGCCAATTTATCAAACCTAAGCACTTACTTTATATTTTACCAGTGTCAGATGGTGTGTGACATGAAGCAGGAGCTTTAACTTTTCCAATTCTAGGCTCTTGGTGGAAAAAAGATGTCACAAGAAAGCAGAAATAATTCTCTAAGGAAGACTTGCATCAACACAAGACATTATAACATGAACAATGAAACTAAATAAAAATTCTAATAACGAGATTAAAATGTTTTTGTTTGCTTGATGACTTGGTGGCTTCAAACAAATAAATTCTATGCTGAATTGAGTTCCTTAAATGTCAGTTTTTCTTTCTTTAATCTGCGTTGGACCAATTAGAGCACTTTAAATGGAAACTTTGCACTTTGTTTGCACTGTATAGTGGAGCTCTTAATTGGTAATGGAAATACTCTTGGTGGTGTTCATAGGCCTATGGCACTCTTAAAAGATTTGGTTGATTTAATGTTTTGCCATCCACCATTTAGGATCTCTATTCAGGTGAACAAATACAAAAGGCACTTATCGGCCATCATAGTCAGTGATGGGCAGGAATAAGCATAGCCATTACCCTGCTCAACTCCTGTATTACATGATGCAAACCTCTTTAAGAGGTTATTACTCCCATTCATACCATTTTATTTCTCAAAGACACTGTCCTCTTAAATTTCCTCACTCAAGAGTGACCGATCCCATGTTTCTGTCTCTCATTCCCAGCCAAAATATTTTAAATCTTTACACTAGTCTTGAAATACATTTTAGTAAACCAGCACTAAAAGTGTCCTTCCTTTTCAGATTAAAACATCTTTCTTTTTACACAGTCTTTTTATGAATGTTCATTTTCAAGGACATATTGCTTAGGGGAAATTGCGGGTAACATTCGCAAGAATTGATGCCACCCACGTCCTTGAAGACAATAAAAGGGGGAGGTGGGGGGAAATGTAGGGGGAGGATGTGGGGTTGGTTTTATTTTTTCCGCTCTAGGTAGTTGGAGGGGACCCAGCCCTTGCGGGGAAGCAGGCTGTCCTGCACCTGGCAGTACCACCATCCATTGGGGTTTCTCTCCAAAACCTCCAGACAGGTGCCCTCAGTGAAACCCATAGTTTCCTCATCGCCACGATAGTCAGCAATGGACACGTACACATCCCTGCCAAGGTTGTTGTGGATCAGTTGGTTCTTCTCTATGGGCTTGGGTCGGACGGTGGACACAGGAATGCCGTTGCGTTGGTTAACTCTGCTAAGGGCATCCTGGACATTGCTTGTGCTGAATGAGCTCCCTGAAGACCCCAAGCTGGAGCGCTCGGCAGGCCGTGTCTGACTTTCAACAACCACATGTGGCCGCACGGTACTGAAGGAGGCATTCCGGCGCACACCAAGAGTGGCAGAACCAGAGCCATAGTGATGATCACTTCTGCCAAGAGAGTCATTTCGCCTCAGAGACCCTGTCATGTAGTGCCCATCCTTGGATGGCTGTGTTGTGGTCACAAATACAGACTGAGGCCTGACAGCCACCTGGCGTACCCCATTCCTCATCCGAACACCTCCATTAACCATCCCGGATGGCTTCGAGAAGCCACCAGGAGGCTTAGAAGGAATCGGTGGAGTGTTCCTCCTCAAGCCTTGATGCTGCTGACTCAGACCCTGAATATTGATGTTATTGAGGGCCAACACGTGTTGCTCGTTTTTCTCCAGGCTGTTGGACTTACTCCCACCACTCCCGTGTCCATCTGATTCTAACCCACTTGCATCACCCACTTGTCTGACAGGTTCCAGGTAGTACGAGGGAGCCCAGCCTTCCTCGGATCCCCAACGGATGTACCACCAGCCGCTCTCCTGTTTCTCCAAAACCTCGACCTCCACCCCAGCCGGAAAGCTGATCTCAGAGTCCTGGGCCTTCTTATAGGCGTCCAGGGAGCGGTAGAGATTGGGGCCTTCCACGTCTGAATCACCACGGCTCCCTTTGGAGTAAACAGAAGAGAGATCTGAGGTACTGCGCGAACACATCGAGTCCTCTGATGAGATAACAGAGGCCGTTTCAGAGTCGTCCCCACGAGTAGATTTGAGGCCATGTCGAAACTGACTTGTAGGCCTCAGCTGTCGTCTCAGAGAGCTGATATCCATCCTCTCTGGACTCTGGGGCTCTGATTTGGTCAGAAGTGGTTTAGGTCTGACAGAAGGCTTGGGTCTGGTGGAGGGGCTCTGGCCTATTCTCTGCTCCACATCCCGGTTGAAGGCAGGGCCTTTCTTCGGGCCTCTGCTTAATTCATCTGATGAAGAGTGGGGGCTGTTGTCCTGCGACCTGAGGCTGATATCTATGTGTCTGCCCAGGGTCTGGCTTCTTCGGTTCATCTCTGGTGTTATGGTTTTCATGGGTCTACCAGCTAAAGGTGAGGATCCAGAGGGTTTGCGTGGGACTGTGGATGAATGATAGCTCCTGGGGGAATTTGGCTCACTGGAACCTTTGACTGATGTTCCTTCAACGCCGCTGCTTCGCCTGAAACCATCGTTTTCATAGATACACTCCTCTTTTGCAACCTCCTCTACAGACCTGAAGGAAGCTCTTCGATGAGTGAACACAGGGGACGCCTTGCAGACAGGAGGAGAGGCCTTGCAGGAAGGAGGGGAGCTGCGATATTTGTCGCTGACCACGCTGCTGATCTTCACATCCAGGGCACGCTCATCCTTCAGGGAATCTGTGTCCGATTCGCCTTCACACCCAATAGCAGGTACATCATACTCAGGTTCTTCGTACACAGGCCTGCTCGGCGGCTCTGAGACTTTAGAGGCAGAGTTAGAAGGAGGGGGGGCCTCCTCGGAGTCTTGTTTTTTGACAGGCGGAGCTGGGGGTGGCACTTTGGGGCGGGTCAGGGTGCTAGTTCGACGGTTGAGGTTGGGCTTTTTGCGCTTGTCAATGTAGGAGCAGGGGGCCCAGCCCTCCATCTCTCCAATCTGCACATACCACCAGCCTCCAGGGTTCTTCTCTATCACCTACACAACAAGACATAGAAGATAAAGGATATCAAACTGAGTATTTTTCTTTCTTTAGGAATTATCAAACTTGCTAAACACTGAAATTGGTTAGGGTTAGACGATCAGACGATCGAAGACGTGGTATTTTATTACTTTGCTATTACAGTCTTCCTGCACAGACATTAATGACAAAAGTTAACACAGTCTAAAATTCTGTCTACATCATCATGTTCAAGCACAAATCTCAAGGTTGCATCTTCATTGGCTCCGCTTCCAAGTCTATCTCAGTTGACATACATATTCAATGAGCCGTGACTGTCTCATCTCAGCAACAACAATGTAGATGTGGCCTCTTACATCAGCCTTTTGTCCTCCACGGAAACTGATGCCATCAGAGATCGAGGACTGGAAATCTGCTATTGTGTAATACTCTGCTTCCACAGCAGGGGGCTCTGGTGGCTTGGGTAACTGGAATCCCTGTACAGCAAAGAGAGATGTGAGCAGCTGACATCATTTCTAGCCATCTTTATATTGTATCTGACTGCGACTTAAGAATAAAACATAATAAAGCAGACAATTTCAATAATTTCAAGATAGGGTTTATGGCTTTGTATGTACAATATACACATAATAAGTTTGTGTAGCATTTAAGTGTGCACAGCAGTTCATAAAGATAGTTGAAGACTTGCTGAAATTGTACTTGTGTTGTGACTGTGCTTTAATGGTTGCTATGCCAACTCCCGCAGTAACCTGGGAGCTAATTAATAATCTTCCTTTTTATGTTGTTATTCTTATGTACTGTATTTATACTGCTTTCACAATCCCCTTCAGCTAGAACCAGTGTTTGTGCTAGAACATTCTTTTGTAGTTCTGTGATGCCTACATATTTCTGTTGAACATACAATTGCACAACATTCATTTTAAAGAAAGCCCTCTTGGGTATTGTTAGGAAACAGTGGCTTTTTAATTTTCTTACCAAGTTGGTTTCTCTTCTTGGGGGAGGTTTTTGTCTCAGATTCGGAGACCCTGAAAAACAAAGAAACATGCATTGCATTTAAAAATGTATTTGCAATGTACGTAACCTACATCCATCCACATTCAGGAACAATGGAGTTATATTTGTGCCTCATTCCTGCGCACGCAAAGACAAAAATACTTATACCATTACGCCCTGAATGGCTGGCAGTCATGAAATCTGTGCCAGTGTCTTCCGCCTTTACATATGAGTGAGCCTCACTCGTCATTCAAATTAAGCTCTATGCTTCTCGCTTCACCCTAGCAGCAAGAGGAGCAGTCCGGTCAGACGTCTTGCTCATGATACTATGCAAGTAACCTAAAGTTCTCTTTCATTTCAATGTTTCACTGTGAGATATGGAAACTACCATATTGCCAGACAAGCCTATGTCCTTGACTGACCGCCAGCCCACCTCACACAGAGCACACCGAGGAGCATAGCATGAGGAAGGCACCAATCAGAATGCTAGCAGTATTACTGGTTACTAGAGACGGTAGGGAAGCACTAGAAGAATGGTAAGCAGCTCCGCAGCACCACAACAACTGTTAATGCAGTTTTGGTAAATACCTACTTTTATGGACACCTATTAAATTCTGGTTATAAGTGAGTCTACCTTTTTATCTTGCAACCTAGCTAACGTCGGCCATATATTCAGTTGCTAACTAAGCAAGTTGGTTACCTTAATGATTGCCAGCTGCACAGCCATGGCTTTACAGTCATTAATGTACTGTAGTTCCTTTAAAAAACTAATGGTTTAAATCAGGGGCACAAGTGCCTGTATAAAATGTAACTGTACAGCCCTGAGTTGTGTCTAATATTTACACAACTATCTGACTATTAATCACCTTTTAGCATGCTTTTAAAACTAGATGTAGCACACTCTGTCCAACAAAATCATATCTTAGATTTAGAGTTTGAATTTACAGACACTATAATGATTGTAATGCCAATACTACTACAATACTATCTGACTAGAGACAGCCAATCAGAAATGACCTTCTCCAATTTTGTCTGGAATTGCAGCACACTGTAACACTCTGTCAAGTTGAGGAAGAGCCCAGGTAAACCCGAGAGCGCACAGAGCAGAGCTGTTGAGAGAGGGAGAGAGACCCTCCCTGCCAGCACACAGCAGTGAAACTGAGAGGGGAAATGAGTAAAACTGGGCGAAAACGGTTATCATTGGGCACTTATGTGAATATTAGCAAACTAGGAAACAAATAAATTGAGCACAAAATAGATTTTTGTTTACTCATATGAAAATCTTCTTTGTATGCTAATAATTTCTTAAGAAAAGAATCAACTTTTATTGTCACATACAGTACAATCAGGCACAGTACAACACATAGGATGAGTTAAATGCACTGTCCAGTGGCAGAGGACCAACTCCAGATCTTAGCCAGTGCCTTAGTCAAGGGCACAGTCTAGAGAAATTAACCTAACATACATGTTTTGATGGTGGGGGAAACCGGAGCACCAGGAGGAAACCCTGCAGGCACGGCGAGAATGTGCAAACTCCACACAGAAAGGTAATTTTGCAATTATGCAGAAAATCTTTTCTGTGCTCAACAAGTCCCATCACATGTTCAGGAATAAGGCCATACATTCTTAGTATGTAAGTAAAATGGATATCCACACTAAAATCCAATGTTAAATAGCATCACAGGTTAGTGTGACAGTGTTATTAGATTACACCACCACCACCACCACCACCGTTAGACACACCACCAGCCATGTAGCTTACCTATAGCATCAAATCCTACACAAAAAGAAAATGACATGTCTTAATTCCTCACACAAAGACTACAAATCCTCCTCTCCTTAACTGCAATGCATTTACTGCTGTATACACAGGTACAATTGTCTCCTAACACAACACAAATACTCACCAATTTCCACTCTATGCGGTGCCACTCTCGCAACAGCTGGGGACCCTGGCTCGCCTCTTCCTTTATTTTCATTTAGGGCAGCACTCGCTGCTATTCCCAGACAGGGGCTGTTGGTGTCACGGCCTGCACTCAGCCTCCTGCCCGTCTCGGCATTGATTTCAGAGTTATAGGGCATGGGCAGGCTGATCTCGCTCTTGGAGATGTGGCGTTCCGGTGTGGTGCTTCCATCTCCATCCGTCTGGATGTCCTTCTCACTGACTGACTTCTTTTGCAACAGGTTGCTGATCTCCATGATGTTGCCGATGATCTCCACGGGGCCTGTCAGGGTCTTCTTGCGAGGGGAGAAGTCCTCTTTCACCTTTTTCAAATAGGAGGCAGGGGCCCAGCCTTCTTTCCCTAAGTATCTTTGGGTAGAGCACATGAAGACGATATGTTTAATACTGTATCTTGTTGAATTTTGCCATTTTTCTATCATTTACCAATTTTACACATGAAGGTCAGTTTATGGGGACATGAAGATTTACAAGGAAGCAATGATGCTGTTGGTTGCGTTATAGGATCCAGAGTTTTTGGAGCTTTTCTCATAAAAGAGGGGAACAATTCTGAATACTTTAGCCTGTGTTGCATGATTTAGATTTTTTTTGTGAGACCCCCCCAGCAGGAAGTGCATTATTAAATACCAGTGTGCTCCTTTAAGGTAGTGCACTGATATTAGTTGGACTATATATTCTACCTACAATGAATAAACAACAAAATTTGCATATTCTCTGGCATTTAAGTGTGTAATAAAATACACCAAGTAAGATCCTGGGTATTGAAAAACAGACACTATTTTAGTTTTAGTGGTGTCAGGGTAGCCAAAGGCAAGTAAACAGACTGCATACAGTAATATATGCAAAGAGACACCGCGTCCCCACATTTAAACATTCATTGTTAAGCTAAATGAGTCATTTTAGAGTGCTCTGTGAAACAATAAGTAATGTTTCCGATTGCAACCATGAGTCATTTGCCTCTAGGTGGGCCATTTGCTGCTCAGGAGAGATGTGATAATTTCTGCTTCCCTGTTGCATGACTCCAACTGCGAGCACAAGGAGTCCCCCATAACTAAAAAAGGCCCATGGTTGCACTATTAAAACGGCCCCCTAAGAGCAGCATGACTCAGATGTAAATCTGGAGGATTATCTCTTGTCGAATAATGTGCTCTTTAATGACTTCTGCAGTGCAACAAGGCCGGTGAGTGATCAAGTCAATGTTATTTTTATCGCCTAATATTACAAATAAAATTTGCCTCAAGAGGCTTTGTAATCTGTACACCATAAGACACCTATCCTTAGATCACTGGTTTGGATAAGGTAAAACACTCCAATAAGCTGTCTGAACAAGCACTGAGCACTTGTGTATACATATTAATAATATAGTATAAATATCATACAAGCACACTTAAGCACCTTAAACAGGGACTCTGTGTGTGTGTGTATGAGCATGCATGCTCTTTGTGTGCATGTGTATGTCAGATGCCACGAGGCAGCATGTGATAGTAATCCGCTGTGCAGTGGAGCTCCACTCTCCTTTGCCCCCGGGGATGCAAGGAAACAAACAACTGGCAGGAAATACACACTGGCTGGGTAAACAATACACATATGTGTTAATAGGCACATGCACACGTACACATTAGAAATCCCAGGAAGGACAGGCAGTTGATCTCTGGCGAGCGCCATATGCTAATGGTTTCTCCTCAATACCGTGACGCAAATGAGAGCTGCAGAAAACCGCTGCCTTGGTCACGGCGCTAAGCAATGACGACTGCCAGCAGTGTCATTGTTCTCTCAGGACTCGCTCACTTTGAAATAGCATGACCCAAAAAAAGACACTTTGGACACATATTTTTCGAATTTGGCTACCATGCATAACTCACCTGATGAACCACCAGCCCTCCAGGTTCTTCTGGATGACCTCCACGGTGACCCCTTTCTCAAAGCTGACTTCATCTTTTCCTTGACTGGTGTACGGCTGAACCGTCACATATTTCTCCTCTGGAGGGGAAAAGGAAAGAGAAAATGTTGTCATTAAACAGTCTCACATTGAGGGGTTCAAACTACTGTTATAGTTTACATCTTCCCAGAAGGGCTTTATGAGGGAAAAAATGGCGAGTGTGACCTACTTAAAATGCTCTGACTATTTTCATACCAACACAAACACTCTCGCCTTGTCCAACACAATAATAACAACCAGCTCCCTCTATTGGCTGAACCCCCCACCCCCCTTTCTGCTTGTTTCTTATCCACACTAGGCCTCGTCCAAGCTATTTGGACCCCGATCCAGCGTTCATCTCTCTCCAGAGGGATATTCCTCTTCTAGCAGCAGGGGCCTCCCTCAAGGAGATATTTGAACCGCGGCCTCTCTTCTCAGATCTCTATCTGAGTGCCACTCCCCTCTCACGCTCAGCTAGGTTTCCAAGACCGTGTAGGGAAGGAAATCCTACAATGGGCTTACTGGGGAGCAGTAGAAGGTTGGAGGATTTATAGACACCAAGGCAAAAGATGGGAGCAGAGGAGGAGACGGAAGATTGGCGGATAGGTTAGACCGAGCTTCACAGCAGCGGGAGACATCATCAGTGGACAGCAAATTGGCTTATTTCAGTGGCTGATGAATTGGTATGGTATGCAGAGGAAGCATCTAAAATTCAGTGTCAGGAAAGATCCCGCGCAGAAAGAAATGGCCAGAGGGAGGGATCTACACATGTATAGAATAAATGAGTCAGGCGGGAGACTCTGGGCAGGGACGATATCTCGGAGGTATGCGCTTGTTCATCTTAATACACGCTTTCAATAGGTGGGGTATGTCCAGACGGCAGCGATTTCAGTTCCTTGTCATTGCAGAGCAGCTGAGGTCAATAATGTGGAGCAGCGTGGAATGTCTGGCCCTGAACCTCAGCTCCCAAAGCATGTTGTGTGAGTGTGTGTGTAGAGGTTGGGGTGAGTACTTGCAGATGGATGGGAATAACAAATGGGGTGGCTTACAGAGGAATCTGGAAGGTCTACCTAAATGTGTGTGCTTGTTATGTGTATATTGATGTACTACTAGCAAAATCTTTGGCACTATGTGGAAGCGCAGAGAGCATCTTTATGTGTGTTTTGTGGTTAATTCTTGTGTTGCCCCGAGGACCGGAATAAAAGATGAAAAGATTGAATGAATCACATCTATAAATCACATCTGTGTGTCTTTCATGAGCTGTACATGTGCCTCAGTGTCCATTTCTGCCTGTGCATGTCGGTGCCGGCATCACACTGCAGGGACACAACAGTGAGTTGAGCAGGCGGTCAGCGGGACTCTATAAATCAGACTAGGGACCTGTTGTAAATGATAGCGCTCCGTGAAAGCTCAGGCCACTGCCAGCAGGGCGGAGGGAGGGCAGCTTCTATTGAACCCTGGAGTGCGAAACACCACTCTTTGCTCAGAACACAATGAGGTCACTTTGCCGTCAGTAACCAATCAGCACCTCCAGGGAGGTCAGGACACCCTGACCTGGCTGTAATTTCATTTGAGTCCCGAGCGTGCCCTTATTTTATAGTCAAGATCTCGGGATCACATCCACGTCTTCTTTATGAAGCGCCGCGTAAAAAGAACACTGTGTCAGCAAACGGGCTGCGGAGTGTACGGCTGCTTTCTTCCATTAGCAAATTACATCCTGGGAGAACATAAATCCTACGTGATCGGTCTTTGTTTTTGTCCTTTGCCAGTGCCACTAAATCAAACTGTATCTCAAGTGTCTGCACAGAGCTGTAAAACCTCACTCAACCGTTTCTTATCGCTAGCTCAGCAATGCATTATCAGGCAGGGACAGTGGTGCCTCCGTTCACAAGGCAAAAAAAGGGGGAAATGGATGACAAGAAAGTGGAGAGGATAAGAATAGGACAAAGGCGGAAAGACTGAAATTTGGCACGGATTGAGTATTAGCTGCAAATAATTCTTATTTTCTTAACAGAACTTTCAAGATAATATACAAGGCATCAGACCAGTTTTACTAGAATTTCTTGTGGTCGTCTTACATTTCTGGCACTATTAATCCCAAAGCAAACCCAAGTCATCTGGTGTTCCAAGCAATTAAACACAAACCACTGTTGTACCTGCACATGGTTGTATTTGATTCAGGTCTAACTGTAGCACAGTTGAACCGAGTTGAGGCAGAGATAGACAGACAGCATGCAGTAATTGGACAGCATGTCGACAGACAGTAATACAGTCACAAAGTGAAGAGTGGTGGTGAATGAAAAAGTTTGGAAAATCCACAACAAACTAAGTTTGACATGACTCCACTCAGCAGCAGCTGCAGTTTTCATGGTGAGACTATTTTCGATGGTGGAAAGAAAGCTACTGGTCCAGGAGCCGTTAGCTTGTTTGCAACGCTGCCAATAACGCTCGCTGCCATGTGAGACTCCTCTGTCCTCAGTTTCTCTAAAGTCCTCTGTAACCTTATGTGTGGCTTCATCACATTCCTTTCAAGCTATAAATCATAACAGCCACACAGCAGTGTATTAAAGTCTCTATCTAAGCTCAACCAAGGCTGCCTTACTGAATATGCAATACCCTCTACAATAAAAGGTCAAAGAACAGTCCTGAACTCCAGACCTTGTGGTGTACAAAGTTATTGATTCAAGCAATCTTCATATTTCTGACTGTCTGAGGGCCAAATGTCAATCATAAAGAACACAGTGATGTATTTCATATACAGTACAGCTGCCTCTGATTTTAGATCACATGCCTTTCAACTAAAAACATGTGCTGAAACTACATACAACTGTGCATGTGCAGATTTTGCCAAAGGTTTCAGGATTTGGCACATATTCGACATTATTTAGCATTTTTGGTGGCCTGTAATAATATTAGCAATGTTAAGTCATGTTAACGGGCGATCAATTGTAAACACTGCAAGTAAGCTGTGCTTTGTAAATGCCTGACTGCTATGCATGTTTGCACTGACATTGAATTGTCATAGGTAACTTTAGTATGCAAGAAATGGTGGCAGAATAGACATCTTTCCATGGCAGCATGAACAAATTCACCTGTTTGGGGGCTCCAGGGCAAGTGTGAGCTGCTAGCCATCCATGTACCCTCAATAAATGGAGGCCCAGTAACACTTGACACTAGATGTTGGCACAGGGACCGCCTTCAAGACAGGGCCTCAATATAAAGTAATACAGCAGTGGGTTCTCAAGGCCTTTTATGTCAGATTAAGGACCAGTGTGTAGGATTCAGTGGCATATAGCAGTGAAGTTGCAGATTGCGACCAACTGAATACCGCCCCCCTTTCAAGCGTGTATGAGAAACTACGGTGGCCACACAACCCCTGAAAAACGCAGAGGGCCCTATCTTCAGGGATACTTTACTAACATGGTGCAGAGGACCCCGGCAAAAAACATAGGGTCATCCAGCCAAACGTACCAGGTTCAACTAGATAGCAGATTACTTTGAACAGATTACAAGAACAAGACCAGTACTGTTTACCTTGTGATTGTTGCAGCAAACATAACAAAGTGATAACTTTCGGAACTGTAAAATACTATCAGCAAAAAAGAAACTGTTGAACAGTGTTTTGATATTTGATAAGCCTTCCAATTCACAGATCAGTTACTGCCTGGATCGTTTTTCATGACTTGTCCTCAGTACCTAAAGCAACACACCCCCACCTTAATGGCTGCTAAACCTGGAGCTTTCCTGGCCCCTCAATTTTGGGGTACGTTTTCGCATATTGAAGAAACTGGTATGTTAAATTGTAATTAAAAAATCAAACAGACATCACACGGAAAAAAAAAAGATTAAATAAAGCAATACAAAATAAAATATGAAATAGTTCCTCTACCCTACAAAAGCAAAAGGCTAGGTGTCTAAAAAATGATGGAATTCAAGAACATGGGCTGCAAAAGTGTTTCATGCCCTCATTCTCTGGTGGCGACAGCTAGCCGGGTGACTCATCCACGCTCTACAGAGGTTGAGGTCTGTGTGATTAAAACCAGTCCGCAGATTGGGCTGCTGCCCCACTTTCACACTTTCCACTGCGTTCTCACTGTTCTGGGAGACATATCTAGTGAGGTAGCATTCCTGCAGACCCGCCTAACAATGTTCCCTCGACCTCCTATATGCCTCATTTGCTTTGATTCCAGTCTATCAATGATGATATGCTGTAAAGAGTGACCCTTTAATATTTTTACTTAGACTTGTATCAAAAAGGTTGCCAGTTTGAATTCTAAATTAGCTGTGTGGGGGAAGACAATGAGTAATGTTATTCTGTCTCTCAAAAGCTACCACTATTCTTCCCTGCATAACCAAATAGGATTAATGACATGGGTATGTGGGTATGTGTCCATGTGTGTAACTTACCCTGCATCAACTGCCTGAGGCTGCTGACTATATAAGAATATTTCCTGTATGTCAGTGTGTGTTTTTAGAAGGAGCAGGGGCCCGAGTTGCTTTTATACCAATGTATATCTCTCCTGTACAGTAGAAGTTACTATAGACTCCCTAGAGTAGAAGCACATACTATTCGACCTGAGTTTGCCCTGTATTCGATCTCCTATGATTAATCACTAATCTGTGCCCTGCTACCCACTGGTCTGAGAGAAAGCGGTAACACAAGCCAGTCCAGCCAGGTTATATTATGATAATGAGAAACAAAGTGTGTTTTTAAAGGTTTTACAGAGGTTGTACTGGTCCAGGAACAGCTTCCATAAACAAATTATAACTACAAGGCCTCTGTTAGAAGCCCTGACTAATCCTGGAACCAGACAGGTGCCTGACTGACAGTCTGAGAAAAGAAATTAGAAAGCACTAACTCGCCCCCAAGAGAAGTGACTGTGTTTTTTCAGACATAAACTCATGTCTCTCTTTCAGCATTAAAGCAATAATGTCTCGACGAAACAGCAGGTAGCATGCCAAATGCAAAAATTAAAAGCGTACGGGAACATTTTCATGTTTGTCTTTTTTTTGAAGAAGAAGAATTACAAGTAAAACGCAAAAGTCATTAACAGCAACTTTAACCTAAGGGAGCTTAGTTTAATTAAGCAGCAACACTGTTATACAATCATTTATGTTCACATGGCTCAGTGGCCGTCAAGGTTGTTGCGTTTGTGCTGTGGGAGCCGAAGAGCCTTAATTAGCCAAATGTGTTTAATGCAGTCCAATTATTTTGTTGCTCGGTGTGAAGCTAAAGAGCATCCAAGTTTGAGTGTGATTTGAGATTTTACTTTCAGAGCTGACTCATGGCCACCCAATATGCTGCTCCCGGTAGATACTCGAGGCCAGTTGTTGTTGGCTGACTATTGAGGATGTAAATGAGGTTGTTTACCATGTGGCCGCAAAATATGTGGAGAGTGGGGCCACGGGAGGGGCTCAGCAGTGGTACTGCGTATTTCTTTCTTACATTACGTGGCTCAAGTGTGTACTGTACTGTATGTGTGAGTGACTGAGTTTCAGACAGTTAATTATTGTGTCTTGTTTTGAATCTATTATTTTTGCTATTACTATTATCCACATTTTCATCACTTTAAAGGTCCAGTGTGTAACATTTAGGAGGATCTTTTGGCATAAATTGAATATAATGTTCATAGGCATGTTTTCACGTGTATAATAAGCTGAAAATAAGAATTTTGTAGTATAGTTGATTGTTACATCAGAATGAGCTGTTTTTATCGACAGAGTGAGCGGGTCCTCTTCTACTGAGTCCACCATGTTTCTACAGTAGCCTAGAACGGACAAACCAAATACTGGCTCCAAGGCAGGGCCTTTTTCTAGTTTCGCAAACATCTTTACCGCTAGATGCCACTAAGTCCTACACACTGGCCCTTTAAAATAAAATGTGTATGTGACAAAATAATCTCAACTCAATGGTCCACTTGCTAGCTTTGTCTGAGCTTCTGCATCTCAACTATCTTCGTTAGCAAACTGAGTCAAGTGCCATTACATGAGCTAATGTTACATACTCTGTATGCTAATTATTTTAATCGCTAAAGAAGCTAAAGGTAGGTCACATAATGACACCTGAGGCAGTTCTATTCACTAATGAAGACTGTAAGATTTGGTTGAAAACATTGGTTGAAATCCGTATCTAGTAAGTGGACCATTGATTTGAGATTGTTTTGCCGAACATGAAATACCAAAAATGAACTACATATATTACATGTACGTGGATCATTGCTCTGTCAGTTGGTGTAGGCCAAGGAAACTGACCTTATCATCATTTATACCAATGTAGCATTTATGAACTTAATTAAGATATTGAAAGAAAGATGTAATGAGAAAGAGAGAGTGTGTGTGTGTTCCAGTGTTTTTATCTATGAATGCATCTGTGGTATATGTATACATGCTAACAATAATGCACTATAGGTGTAGCAAATTCATATGTGCTCTACAAGAATGTGTCCATATGCATGAGCTGGTGTGTTACCCTGTGTGAAGAGAGACTGCTTTGCATTGCTTGTGGGTACATGTATGGGCTTGTATTGATGTATATATGCATGTGCAAGCCCATCCATGGGATATGTATGCATTTAGCCTAACTGTGTATTCTGTGTGTGTGTCTCCATGTTCACCTCTGCTCTGCTGGCGGTTGACTATACCCCCAAGGGTCCAGCGGCGGTCCAGCCTCTTCAGATGTGCCTTGCGTCTCTTAGTGACTGATGATGAGGAGGAGCAACCAAAAGGGAAAACAAAAGCAAATGTGGAGTTAGTTGTAAGAAGCACAGATTAGCAAACTGAACACAGACAAACAAAAAGAAGGTGTTGTTAGTAGCACCAAATTAATTTCTAAGGGACAATGGCAAATAAACAACTTTTTTGTGTCAAGCATGAAGCCAGTATATTATCTCTTTGTCGGTGTTTAGAGAGGATATGTTATGGTCAAAACATGTTGTGCAAATTTCCACTTAATATGCAGCATGTACGTAAGTCACAACTGTTGCTTCCTAAAGTTTATGGAGTTAAAACAAAAGAATCTGAGGATGGTATTTTCCCTTTCATTTAGTATGGACTGCAGCCAACCACCATGTGTTATAGTGTGCCATTATTTATTGGTGGGTGTGTATTGTACTATTTGGTGCATATTTATTGTGTACTCTCAGTTTTTGGTTTTTTTTAGCATCTGAGCAGGGACCAAAGACAACATAACCCCATGTACTAGTTATTAGGTAACTGTAGACAGCCCTGCAATAAGTTATACCTTTGTAAAACTTATGTCTACCTCTATTTACACACTTAACACCACCTCTCCAGGAAACAAAAATCACTGCTGACTTCTCACTGACACCGGTAGTCAGCAAGTTTTACATATTTTTCTCTGCACACATACATATCATCAAAGTCAGCTACTGTGGCGGGCAGCCTGGCCTGGTGTTCGGTTTCACTCTGACAGGAAGGTAAGTAGACAGCTACAGGACTGTCATAAACAGCTTTTGCCTTACACAGTCAGACTAAGTGGCAAGGAGAATTCAAGCAAGAGGAAAGAGTTTCAGTTTGTACCTACTAACCACAAACCTCAGATACATCAAAGCTACGGAGTGTGTCAAATCTGTTTAGGGCTGAAACTACTAATAATTTACATGTTCAATTTCTCTGTTTTTTACACAATAAAAAGGGGTAAAATGCCTTTTACAATTCACAACACAGTTCAAACCCCAAAAGTATCCAATTTACAATGATGTAAAAGAGAGAAAAGCAGCAAACACTACATTTGTTTTGTTTTTCTTGATTTCAAAACTACACAAAATAGTTGCACAGCAGCCATTTTGACATAAAATTGTAGGGTGAACACAGGCATTACCAATGTCCCCAATTTAAGGTTCTGTTCCATTTAGTGTAGCAGAGCCTTTGCAGTGAGACAACGTGCACAATAGCAGCACCCTGACTCTGTTTGACCTGAATGCAACACAACCTTAATTAGTAACCTTGGTAACACCTGTGTTTACCCTACTGTTTCATGCCAAAATGGCTGCTGTGAAAAAGGTTGACATGAGATGACAATGGATGGAATGGGGAATTCTTTTTGAGCACCTTAAGGGCAATATTATGCAAGGGTCCCTTTTTATATACACTGTAAACCTTTTCTTCATCATCTTATCATCCACATTATATCTGTCTATAATTGAGTTTAAAAACCTTACATCCTCAGATCAGCCACTGCAGTAAGAACACTTCACTTGTTTCAAATAAAAAATCTACTTATTTTAAGAATTCTATTAGTGCGCGTATCCTGAAGCAGAAAAATAAGGTAGGTTGAAATTGGCTTTTTAAGAAGGCGATTTCTGAGTGTATATACAACATACTTTTAAGCTGTGGTGGTTAATGATGACTGCAAACCAGTTGGCTTATAGTTTAGATCAACTGATCAACTAGGAAGGAAGACATCACAGATTGCATTGGTATTAACTGTAATTGATGAGGACTACATACAGTATCTCAATGGAAGTGTGTTTGCCGAACTCTCAACCTCTTCCACGCCTTATTAATTCAAAGCCTGTATGATAAAGCAGCAGCCATAACATGATGAGTCATTTTCCTATCTAATGCCCTCCCTGAGGCCACATAAAGAGCAAACACGTTAATGTGGGGAAGGATAGAAGGAAATGCTTGCCTTCTGTCTATCTTTCTACTGTGGTAATCTGATTCCTTCTCTCTTGCTCACTTTCCCTATCTTCTGTCCTCTCTTCACCTTCTTGTCTTTCCATCTTTCCTTCTGCTCAACATCTGCCCTCTCTCCCTTTGTGTGCTTCTGCTACTTGTCATTTCCTCTCCTTTTTGATTCCTCTCTGCCTTCCATCCATCCCACTCAGCGCCATACTACTCCTGTTGACCTCCTAATTGAAATATCAGCGAAAGGAAGGCACAAAGGGAAATGTTATTTCGAGGTAATTTCAGCAGGGCCGGGCTGTGCCTGTCGGTTCCTCTCCAGCGAGCCGAGCTGTCAGTGGAATTAGGTTACAGACCACGCAGAGATAATGAGATGTAAGAGACGACAGGAAGCGGGAAGGGGGAGATCAGAAATAAGAAGTGACGATGTGTGCAAACACAAAGACACCAGGCCTAATGGGAAAATGGGGGCCACTGAGAGAGGATGGGGAGTGGATGAGAAAGAGTGTGTGTGTACTTATGTGTAGTTGTGAGCACAGGCACTGAGTGCAAAAAAAACACATGGAATGAGTGAGATTCTCTTTTAACATAAGTGCCAGATCCAACCCAAAGGCTTAAAGGATAATTCTGGTCTATTACAACTTGGATCTTATTTGGGTAGTTTTGTCCATCTATCACTAACAAACCAACTGTACTCACTGAGTTAACTGCTGTGATGTGTGCACACAGTTTTCCTGTGTATTGAGGGATTATTACATTTGTTGTGTTTTCTTTTCAGCTCGAAATGAAGTGCTTTAGATTGTCTGTCTCTTATAGGTTCCATATGTACGATTCTGAAACATTTAACGCACTAATATGTAAAAGTCTGTATTAATCACTTTTTATTGCCAATGTGTGAACAATGTGTAACTTAAAAAAATAAGGCCTTTCCCGACATTCTCGGTTTTCTATGAACTGAACTTCCATGGAGGGATGCAGTTGGATTTCCTGTAAAAAAAACAAAGTGACGTTTATGTTTGCTTTAGATTGCCTTCTGTCTCTGCTTCCCTGCAGTGTCAACAGTGTGTGACACTAGCTAACGTTAGCTTAGCTGCTGTAGGTACCAGATGTTCTTGGTCTGACCCACCACAACAAAGTCCACAAATACAAAGCTAACATTAGTCTACTGCAAAGCTCATAAAATATATTGTGATTTTGTGGTTTTAGCTGTATTAGCTTGCCTGATAACACAGACGAATTGCTAGCCAGTTAACATAGCAAAATACTGTCAGCTAGCTTCATCTAGACTTCTGAGCCTGATCGGGCTCGCTTGCCTTTCTACAGGTTACTTTGTTGGCTGGTGTTGCAGGGACAGCCAGTGCCGAATGTTATTTAGCATGGCTGGGTAGCTTGCTTGATATTCAATGTTAGCCCTGGAAAAATGCTATCTAAGTGGATGCGTTAGTTGGCTAACATTAAATTGCAAAATAACTTGACCAGCTAATGTGATCCGTGATACTAACTTGACAAACGGTGTTGATTTTAGCCAACTATTAAGGATGTATATATAGAAGTTTTAAAGTCCCTACAAGAAACTTTCATTTTGTGTTGATTCTGTTGGCCCCTGTGGACAAAAGCAGAAGTGTTTCCACCACCTTGTTTCATTGATTTCAAGGGGAATCTAACTGAATCTGACCTGGTGGCAGGTATTAAGAATAACTACAAAGAAACAGCCAATCTTCTTGCTGATGGTCTTGTTTATTTATGTGTCTGTTACTAGATCTCATCAATTAAAAGAATACTCCACTGGTTTAGCATTGCACTCCTATAACAATGTCAGACTCATGATAGACTGTTTAAAAAACAAGGATAAAAATTGATGCAGAAACTCGACCACTGACAGTTTGGTTGGAGATTCAGTATACAGGATTGTAAGAGAGGACACTGTTACAGGCACTGACAGCATCTATTAAGTCTGTGCGAGAGGGAAAGAATCCAAGACACAAATGAGAACAGCAAATAACAGTGACTGTGGCATCTGTGCAGGAGCTGTCATCATTCTAGTAGAGTCTGTTTTTGTGTGTGTGTCTTGCAGAATGTGCACAGTTCGATGATGCGTAGACGCTTGTCTTAATGAGACACAGAAAATGTTTGTTATATTATCCAGAGTGGCACTCTACAGCGTGATTAACTATTGCACCATTCCTGTTTCAATACCATACACTACTGCAGATAAACTGTGTGCTTGTGTGTTTGCACCTTATGTATCACTCTAGGATTCCCGTGGTCTAAAAGCAGAAAGGGGCTTATGACACAGTGATGAAACGCTCCATCCCAGCAGTCAGACTAAACATTAGAGAGGAAAGGGTCACAACAAAACGAGTCTCCTGCAAGAGTTGCAGCCTCCCAGGGGAGCTGAAAGGAATTTTCTGTGGTGCCAAAATATTGCAAACCCTTTGGCTGCGGTCTGGTACCATTTCACCATGGAGCTGCGACTGTGGACTTCAAGGTTCCTAATGTGTGACTGGAAGTATGTTTATGAGTGTTTGTGTGTGCTTAGTGCTGACTTCTGTAGCAGCCTTTAGTCTTAGATTGAGATGTGAGCACAGAAAAACCACCCACCAAAACCAATTATTGAGAAATCATTGCCTGTTCCATGCAGGCGTTCTTTGAATAACTAGTCGGTCAGAATGACGTTTATGTCTTTCTGTGTTTTATGAATCTAATAATGTTGTGTGTGTGTGTGTGTGTGTGTGTGTGTGTGTGTGCTCTAACCTTCTCCAGTCCTGGAAGTGCCCAGATCCAAATCATCTCTGGTTACATTCTGGGAGTCCAGGTATGTGGCCGGCACCCAGCCCTGCTCCTCTGCTGTGCTGACAAACCACCAGCCTAGAGAAAGACAGAGACAGAGCGAACATATTAGTACTGCAAACAATCATCAAGGCCTGAAGGATGGCAGCGAGCATCATTCCCAAGTGGTGATTTACACCAAACAATGGGAATTACATGTCATTGTTGTTCAACTCTCAAATATAGCACAATGTACTGTGACTGTGGATGAGCCAGCAATTGCACTACAGCAGCGTCAGCCTGTGAATGGGTGGTTAAACCATACATTTAATATGTTGGGCATGCCTGCATCAATGTGACAGAGAGATCTGAGGTGCACTCATGGCCGCTGGAAGTTTCACCTACTTGGAAAGCTCTCATCATTACTAAACCAGACACTGAAAAAGAAGAAAGACGTCGGAGAGAGCAAAGTGTTAAGGCTTGAAGTGAAACAGATCAGCAAATGTTTAAAAAGCACTTGTTGCGCCTGGTTAAGAGGAATCTGTCAAGACCAGTAGGTTGTTTTAAGTTGCTTCACTTTTCACCATTACTCATTATGAAACATGTTATACCGCTGTTTGGCCAGACCTCTCTAACATCCCGAAGCTAGGTGAACAAACCAAGGTTATACAGTGCAACATGTAAACCTACAAGAACACAAGTCTGCAGCACTGTGAAGTTGTAATTCCAAATTCCATGGTAGTACATCCAATAGTTGTGGAGACATTTAATTCAAAACCAAAATTGTCACCCTAATGGTGGTGCTAAATCATATCGGAACCATAAATGCCTTTGCCACATTTTGTGATAATCCATCTGCCAGAAGTGGATATATTTTACTGGAGAAGCAATACATTTGATGCGCTGCTGGTGCTAGATGAAAATTCAGGGGATCAACAAAATTATAACCATTCATCCTTTGGGGATCATGAATGTTGCTGAGATTTTACAGTCTGGACCGAAGTGATGGACAAGACAAAGTCACTAATCACTAGAGCTGCTCTGCTATAATGGCTAAAAATACAATGGAGAAAGATGTACTTTATCCAACTGAGTCATCATAGCATGCTGACTTTATATCATGATGTACTGGAATTCTTCGAAACACTGATGAAGGACACAAGGTTTGCTTTGTAAAACAGCCACATGACTCTTACTCGACTGTCTACATTTTCCCAGACGATCCTTCGAGTCCTTTCTGTCTTTACCCAAATCTGACTTTTGCCTTTAGGAAGTCTTGTAAAGCTGGAAGAGTTTTCACTTATGAATTAATTAAATATCATGGTATCTCATGACACTGTTACACTGTATTTGCACTAAATATTACTCACTCCATCCCCTGACCAAAGTTCGACAGATCAAGCTTTGAGTAGTACTCACTAAAAAGTAGTTTGTGGTTACATGTATGCTATTCTGTTACAGCATTCACAGAGCTGACTTGACACAATTACAAAAACATATGTCACATTTGGGCGGCAACCACAACCAAAAGAACCGGGAGGCAAGGCTTTCTCATCAATCACATTTTGACAACCGGCACGTGTCATTCTCTAACGAAGACTGTGTTTACGAAATTCAGAGGCGTGGCGAGTATTGCCTTCACAACATTTGGGATCATATCGATGGCACTGGATAAGTTGGTATTTAAATGGGGAGACTTAACGACTGTAGTCACTCCAGCTTCTGGCTAGAAACCACTGCATGACACATTCTTCCAGTATCTACAGTACAAGTTGGCAGGACAGCAGACTCTGTCTGAGGCAAGAGTTGAAAGTTGATAAAAGATATATTTCTTTTTACCACAGTGTGGAAGAATATATTTAGGAGAGCACTGCAGCTCCACCAAAGTAAGTGATTCAGTGCCTTTCATGTGTAGCTGTTGTGTTCTATGTGTTTGCTACAAACACAAATTTCACCAATATCCCCAGGATTTAAATTGGCAACCACCCGGTCTTAAATGCTCAGACTGGTCTTAAATGTAATTTTGTATGCAAGTGTGACTGAACATGTAGGTGACAGAATTAGAGAGATGGGTGGAGATGGACAGAAAAGTAGAAACAAACTTTTTCTTTCTCCAAATGAGTCCAACAATTAGGTCATCACTGCTCCAATGTATTTACAGCCATATGGCTCAGCTCTATAATGTGGTTGGAGAAGCTTGGGTGAATCAACCCATCACGCCCTTTTTTATTGCCCTGCAAGACACCAATCACATTAACACGTATTATGAATGATGTGGAAAGTATGCCTGTAACAGTAGAGCTCTATCATGGGGAAAGTAATAGTAATGGGAACAAGGGGAAGGTGTGTTTGTGCTGTATAAAGCAGCCACAGTATAAGCAACTATATACCACCACCAAGAGAACCTAAAAGTTGATTTGAACAGAGAATGTGCATTATTTTCAGATAAATGCACGGCTATTTTATAAAATAATACTCATAATTATATGGGTAATCGTTTCAATCATATTATTTCTAGGTAAATATTAAAATTTTTGCATTTATGAATAAATTATACTTTTACACTATTTTGATTGCCATTAAAGAATGAGTATTTTGCTGTATAATGCAGCAGTTCAGTATAAGAAAATAATACACTTACCTCTACTCCACATTTAGAGCTGTTAATAATGATCACTTCACTAAATCCATCATCTATCTCATTAATTATTAACTGTACTTTTTTAATCACTGGTTTATACTTGTCAGAAAATATGAATGGCTAGGTTATAATAATAAATAATACTTTAACAATAGGTTTTGTTGATCAATTAAATGACTAATCATTTCCACAATACACATAGTCAAAAGTTATTTTAATACAGTGATTGATGCGTGGCTAACTAATTCATGTTTGGGAAAAAAAAAAAAAACACCTGCTACATTTTTCCTGAGCTTTCAACTGCATCTTGGAATGAAGACCATGAGATGAAAGCTACGTGGTTAAGATTTTTATTTGTTTTTTCTTTATTATTTATTTATTTGACAAACTACTGCTTCAGTGGTAAAGAAATAACTTTAATGGTCAATTTCTCTCATGTTAATTCCATTGATACAAGAATCAAATCTACTTGCATGATCTGTGAAAATGAAAATTACCCACTGACTCTCTTTTTACAGGTAATGTGACAGCATTCGCAGCTAAAACTAGCACTGCAGAAAGCAGAACGTTCCTTCTAGGAAAGTAGTGCTGAGCTTCATTGGTGCCAGACTGTAACAACAACAACTACACTAACAGGCATTAAAATATTATTGGCTTGACACTTAACAGACCACAGTAGAGGAGCCTGCCCAGCCCCCTGCATGTGGCCTCATCTCTCCTTATACCCATATAAGCACAGTGAGGCCTGAGCCACCCTGACTTTGACAGCTTATATGTAACATAAAAACACCTTCTTCCAACTCACACACACAAAATCATACTGAAATACTGTCTCTCCTGAATTTCCCCACAGCGGGCTATGTCTCACAGCCAACACAGGAGTTAATTCAACCTGAGGGCCCACAGACACATGGGGGGTTGTGCACAGTAGCTGCAGTGTACCTGAACTTCCTCACAGTCACACTGGCTTTCTGTGGATGTTCTGTACCTGCCCGCCGGCTGCTTTAATACTCCTGCAGAGACCTTACAGTGCCGTTTGGCTTCAGGAGAGGTCAGCTTAGTTCATTTTGGACCCATCAGGATTAATTTAGGACTCTGCTTGGCTTGACTGGTGGAGGTAGTGGTTTCATATGAAATTGTATTTGACACCACGACAGTTATACTATGCAAATTAAATCTTACACCATAGCTCCTGGTTTCAGAAGCCCAGTGTTATAATGAACAGAGCTTGCCACAGAGCTAGCACTTGTAAACTCAGGAGGTGCCGTCAAACTTGGGCAAGAGGATTTTCTTGTAGGGGGGTCCTCTGCTTGGTTAAGATTGGAGAAGTGGGCTGGGACCACACAATGGTTTTAAATCATGAATTTAAGTTGGATTTATTTAGTGCAGAGTTTGTCTTTTGATTCCTGAAGGTTTTAATCTATTTTTCTGTTTTGCTGCAGTGTGAAAGGTGTGCCTTGCAGTAAGAATAGCTTGCTCCATATGAAACACATCAGGGCTTTCATAGGCTGATTCATTGCATCTACTCAAAGAGTTAAAGAAGAATTGGAGCAACCTGTATGGAGGAGAGCAGTAGCTCTGTACAGAGACAAATGCAGGAGTTCCTCCTCTCTTCAGCCCCCCTGACACGCTGTGGAAAAACAGAACAATAAATCTTTTGCGCTGATAGGAGCATTCAGGTGACTGTCTGCCATTGACAGTGGCAAGTGTGAGCTCCACAACTGCTGCTAATCTCATCTTAACATGAGATATATCCTTGAATGGCGAAAGTTCAAAGGTCTGATCATTTGATGATGAGCATAATCATACTCTATGTACAAATCCAAAATCAGGAATGATGTGATTTCATCTGTTTGTGCTGGTTAAATTAACAACTGCAACACTGTCCACAATGAAGACATTGTAAGAATTTTTTATTGATGCCAAAATGATGAGGGTTTACAGAAGTCCAATTGTGGGGAATTAAATTCATGACTGGCTTTCCCCAGACCACTAATGATTAAAAATTGTTCAGATCTTAAAGTTAGACTTGAATGAAGAAAGACAGACTGCACAAATCTCTTTAGCTGTATTGCTGATCAAAGCTGACATCAGAATCAAAGACTATTCCCAAACTTTTACCTGCTGTCAAAATCTAGCTACCCTGGCCAGCAGGATTCTCTGTTCATTATGAAACCACTTAAAGTGTTTTAGGGGAAACTTCAGATTTGTTATTTAGCTTTAGAGAATTAAGTAAAATGCAGCACGCTCTTTTGCCAAGAATTAGATAATAAGATTGATACCAATCTCATGTCTGTACACTTAATATGTAGCTGAAGCCAGCAGCTGGTTATCTTAGCTTAGCATAAACACTGGAAACAGGCTGGAAACAGCTAATCCCAGCATCAGTATTAATTAACATCTTATATCCATATTATGCTATTTTACAAATGTTATAGGACATATAACATGTTTATTA